ACATTTTTTCGCTTTATTACTGTATAATCAATAAAAATAATATTTATTTTGTCTTTTAATATTTATTAATTTACATTTAAATAATTTAATATGTACACTAATATTTTAATACTGTGACTCTCTTAATTATACTTAGTTTTTTCCTAAAAATCAAAACTTTTGATTTAAATGATTCCACTGTATTTTTGTATTTATAACCATGCCAATGCTGGATGCCCTATATGAAATTACACACCCTTAGTTGAACCAGGTAAAATATCTAGTAGTTAGTGGGTTTTTATATATATTATTTTGTATGAAGTTCACACCCCCTCTCCCCTCCTATAAAAGGGTCTATGGACACCACCGGTTTAGAGTGATTATAATTTATTTATTAAAAGTATATAAATTATCTTTTCTTTTAGTTTTCATAATTATATTATAAAATATTATTATACATTTGAATGCATTTTTAAGAGGATGATTTTTTAATTTCGAATGAAGATATGGGTCTGCAAAATATCACAAATTTGAAATTAACAATGCTCATAATATATAAATTTAAGATATAAATATCGAAGACAAGTTTCTGTTTAAACACAGATAATGCTCTCCTCAAAATGTTTTATAGAGTAGGTGCATTTTTGAAAAAAAATCAAAAAAACTAAATTTTTTGTTTTAAATTGTTTTTTCTGTTTAATATGCAATTTAATATGTAATTTACTTATATGCCATGTACTACCTAGTATCTATAATATATTTCACTGTTTATTTATTACTTAATTTGAATTTTAGAAGTATTTGAAATGTATTTTAAATATTTTCTGAATGGATATTTTATGCAGCCATTATATTATGTATATATTAACTTTAAAGTAAAAACTTATTAAATTTATAAATTTATTCAATACAATTTAAAAATCGCCTTCTTAATAGACGCTGATGTCGTGATCTTTTATGATTAAAAAAAAAAAAATCAATAAATTGTGTTTAATTTAAATCTGAAGGGTTCTATCATTAGATGGCCTCCCTTATCCTGTCAATCTGTTATTATAATTATTATTCTATTGTTTTGTTGTACATATTATTACATTGCTTATTGTGTCTGTGGTCGCGTGAGTTTTATGTAGTACGAGTTTAAATACAATATAATTTTATTGTCATGCATTTTAGTTAAAACTAGTTTTTACTGACTTATTTGAACCTGCGGTGAATTCTAGTTTTAACTAGTTAAGACCAGAAATGACTAAAGGGATTTGTGGAAACTAGTTTCGACGGATTTCGGGTTTTAACTGTAACATATACAATCTTAGAGCTCATAGCAGGTGTTACCTCACACGGAGTTTCCGTATAACGTCTATAGTAAATAATAGCATAATAATATGTTAAACAACTAATTTTTATTTCGGTTTTTTTTTTGCGGTAATTCACGTGTGCTGATGAATGTTTTGAAAAATTGATTATCCCAGAGGATATGGAACAATTTGAAAATCATTTAAAACATGTGTACAACACTTCTTCCACCGCAATCAGTGAGTATTTACAATTATTATATTGAAAAAACTATGTGGCTACAATTTATCGCTCCACTCAGAATCTAAAACAAATCATAGAATCAAATAATTAGATGAACTTAATTACAGTAATTAATATTATGATTTGCTTTCTTAATTCTGTGCATATTTTTATGTAAGCACAGAAAGACGAATACCACTCTTAAGAGGATTTACATGCAATGTTTATTTTCTCTCTCAGACTCAACTGCTACACTGTCAACTAAAATCGTTTTTAATGATTTTTAAGTAATCTTAGAGTAAAATCCCCTATTACAAATAATATAAAAGATATTTTTTTTGAGAGTTCGACTTATAGATTTTATTTTTTATTATTATTTGACTTTGTATTTAGCATTCAAAATAAAAATAAATTATTGTGAAATTAAACCGACAAACTGATGTGTCGTACCCTCAAAAATATTAATCTCCTTCATTTTCGTAATGGATGATTTTACTTTAAGATTTCTCAAATATATAAAAATGATTTTAAGTACCTAAATGCGTTTTGTCTATGTTGCATGTGGGCCAGGGAGAGAAAACAATTAGTGGGCTGACATCATGTTAATGGCATTGAATTTACGTCGACTTTTATGAATTTGTTAATTAAATCTATTCCTGTTGTTTGTGCACAGCATCTACTTTGTTCAGAATTAAGAAAACATGAAAAATCATAAAATTAGTCATTATAATATTGCGTGTATTACCTATAATATATGTCAATTGACACAAAACGGAACACGATACAAAGATAGATTAATTTGAATCCGAGCGAAGCCAGGCGTAATACACCATAATACAGTTTTATAATGCTAATCCTCAGTTTTCGACTGATTTTTATAAAATGTTTATAAAAACAAAAAAAATGAAGGAAAACCGGGATTTTGGTGTAACTCTATAACAAATGATCATGATACATAATATACATACATGCAATTTTCACTGGTTGTTTGTAATTTGTATTATCATTTTATATACCCAATACATTTTCAAAAAATATTGATTTGTTTTGAACTGTTAACGGACATTTACAGTTTCTTTTTTTTATTTGAATGTCAATAATTATTATTTAATGAGTAAAAATGCTTGGCAATTTAATACAAAGCTCCTGACATATTGTTACTTTAGCAGTTGAATTTGTGTGTGTTATTTAGGTGGCTTCAACTCTAGTTACAACACTAGATTTATTTTGTTTTTTTTTTTTTCATTTTTTTCTTACATAATTATTCCGCCTTTATTCGATATCAAAATTGTTATTTTAATTATTGTAATAATAATTTATTCAAACGATTATAAATTAGAATATAATTATTATATGATATTTAATTTGTAATAATTGTAGCATATTTGTATACAATATACGTATACTACAATCCAATATCGTAATAATTAGTATTTTTTATCAAACCCAAATAGTTCGATAATTCAATAAATACTTATTGAAGCGGTTTACAGCAAAACTACCTATTGCAAAAATTGTAGAAAAGAATTTTTTTAACAATTGTAAGAAGCCTGATTTTTGATATTTGTATTAAATAGTTGAATAATTTATCGATAAAAAGTTAATAACCGTATTCATTTACCATGTGATATTGGACGATTGGAATATGATATCAAAAATCGGATTTCTTATGATTGTTAAAAAACTTCTATTCCACAATTTTTATAATAGGTATTTTTATTGTAAACCGCTTCAATAAGCCGTATTACTTGAAGAACAAAAGTATAGTTTTTATTAATATAAAATTCGGATACGAATACAAAATATAAAACCGAATAAAATTAAATAATACTAGCTCTAAGTGTAAATCGGGGCCCGTTGGACTCGCTGAGAGTGGGTACCGATTTTGGAGACAACGTCGTTGGAATTATAAGAGTCGCAAAGGTTGTAAGACGAAAGTTTAGGATTTGTGATAAGGATTAGTGATATGGATTGGAGATAAGGCTAGACGCTTTGGCGGGAATGTTAAAAGTTTGTGCGTCTAGCAATCCGTCACAAACGTTATAAATGGATAGGCTGGATACGATCTTCAGGATCACCTATATATAGAGTATACCTGCACATAGAGTGGTATGTGCCTTCGCAAGTTCGGTGCCTTTTCTTATGTAAAAAGTGTAAAGTCGAAAACCGTGTTGGAGTGTCTAGCAAGTCAGTCATCTCAAGTCAAAATCAAGATTAACTTTCAAGTTAGCCACCTAGGTAGGCAATCCCAAATAAAATACAAACTATATTTATATAACAATCATGGACATTTTAAAAAATATGCAATTATAATAATTCCTAATAAAACAAATATAATATGTACCTATTTATTGTGTGATATAATATGACAATGACTTTAAATAATAATAATGTCAAGGTTAGGTTAGGTTAGGTTAGGTGAAAAGACAGCCAGGCGGTGAAGTGGAAATCCCCAAAAGAGCTAGGCGTATTATCTACACTACCAGACACTGAAATCTATACCGCAGTCCTTACAAAACATAAACTTTTGATTACATCTTATATTCATATTAAAACCTACATGCATGGTGCTTAAAATAAATAAAACTAAATCGTTTCTTTCATGAAATATTGTTTTCGTTAAATAGTCTGTTGCATAGATCCCTGCATTACCTTTTCCGTGATCGATGAACGCAAAGGCGTGACAAAAAATAGTATGTGTGGAAGGAAATTTGCCAATTTCAGTTCCACGACTGAAATTTTTCACTTCCCACCCATGCCATGCCACACAATATACTATTTCGTTTTATTAATTTTTTTTTTATAACGAAACATGATTAAATTTTTTTGTCACGCCTGCACCGAAAGTTTGGTTTTCGACCACGGTTGAAGCGTTCGAAAGCGTCATTTTTCCGTCCAGAGAGCGGTAAAGTGGAAATCCCCAAAGTGCCGGGCGGAAAAGAGGAAATCCCCAAAAGTGCCGGGCGGAAAAGAGGAAATCCCTAAAAGTGCCGGGCGGAAAAGAAGAAATCCACAAAAGTGCCGGCCGCGTATCCCCTGCACAACCAGAAACTAAAATGTATACCTACCACGGTTCTTACAAAACATAAACTTTTGGTTACATATTAAATGTATAGTATAACCTCCTTGCATGACGCATACACATTTAAACATATTTAATTTGCACGGTTCCTAGATAAGTGCGTCGAACGATGCGTTAGTAAGTTTATTTCACGCAATTTGTATAATAATTCAAATTAAATAATGAGCATAAATACGAATGATGACAGTCAACACAGCAGTTGTAGTGAACCATTAACTCCACCACACATGGTTGAAACGGCAAACGCCGTTTCACTAAATCTATTGCCTGAAAAATCAAAAGAAAGATATATATTGGCTTATGAAAAAATTTTAAAATGGAAAAAAAAAATAAAACCAAATCGTAGTCAAAAAATGTGTTGCTTACATATTTTAGTAATTTATCTAAAGAAATTAAACCGTCAACTCTATGGTCTGTTTATTCAATGCTTAAAACCACTATAAATATGAAACATAATATTAACATTGGTACTTATCCAAAATTACAAGCTTTTTTAAAGAGAAAATCGACTGGATTTAAAAGTAAAAAGTCCAAAGTTTTGACTTCAACCGATATAAAAAAATGCATAGACGAAGCTCCTAATATTCAATACTTTGTAACTAAAGTAAGTGTGATAACATTGTTTAATATAGGTTTTCTATTAATATTCCGTAAATTTATTATGATATAGGTAGTATTGATTTTTAGAATAACTGGCGCATATAGAAGAGAAGAACTTCGTAATATTACTATAAAGTATAAATGATATACAAGATTTTGGTTCAATGTTACATATTAAACTTCCTTACACAAAAACAAATTGTTTACGGTCTTTTACTATTGAAGGAGAGTTTTATGATATTTTTAAGAAATACATAGATTTAAGACCCGCAAATGTACAGTCAGATAGATTTTTTTAAAATTATAAAAACGGTAAATGCACCAAACAGGTTATTGGAAAAAACAAAATTGGAAATATGCCCAAAGAAATTGCAAATTATTTAAATTTACCAGATCCCCAAGCTTATACAGGTCATTCTTTCCGCCGAACTTCAGCAACATTATTTGCCGATTCTGGAGGTGATATTACAACGCTCAAACGCTATGGTGGTTGGAAATCCAGTCAAATTGCCGAAGGTTATATAGAAGATTCAATAAACAAAAAAAAAAAAAATTTGACTAGATAACTGAGTCTATAACTAATCCATCATCAACACAAACCATAAATGATGTTAACTATGGTGCATCTACTTCAAAAGCCAGTGACGTTGATGAAAAAAAAAAGAAACAAGTGTCAGCGGAAATGTTTTCAATATAAGTAATTGTTCTAGTTGGACATTAAATATAAATTAAAAATAAAATAATATAGTATATTAGTATAATAATCTTATCAGTTACAATAATAAAATATACAAAGTGAAAATTGTAATTTTGAAATAAAATAAAATGTCTTCCATGAAATTGCTTTTGTAGAATAGTCCATAATTGTTGCATAGATCCCTGCATAACCTTTTCCATGAACGCAGGGGCGTGACAAAAAATAGTATGTGTGGCTCGCGCGCGAAGGCCATTTCCCGCCCTTGCCACACAATATACTATTAACATGTATTTAAAAAAAAAATATATATTTTATTCTAGTAATATCAGATAACATCACACGACCCCTATGCTCTGCGACTTAAATTTTAGGGACCCAATTACAAAATATCTGGGGTGCCCAGGCACATCCGTCACCTCTCGTGCGCACACCTATGAATAAACTATAAGAGTCTAAAATAAATAGCGGTCTAAATAATATTTTATAGAATTGTCAAAAAATGATTAAAAAATGTATAATCAGACTAATTATCTGTCTCACAAATGTTTAATTAGGTTACAATATTTTGTTAATACATATAATAATACAATATTAATAATAATAATATAATAATAATATTTATAATAATAAAATAATACAATATATACTTAAAAAAAAAAATGTTAAATATTATAAATAAAATTAAAAATCAAATATTTTACTTTCTAGAAAATATACTGACTGCATTCCTCGATTACAGTAAGAGTTATTTGCATGCTGACAGTAAGCATAATTCTTTACTATTTTAGGATTATTTACTTATTATATAACATCAAACCTCCCTTGCAATTATTGTATAGGTTGTATATTATTTGTAACCTATTATATAGACTATAGAGTATAGACATATAGTTGTGTTTGTATAATTATATATTTCTGTTTATATAATGTACCTAAAAATACAGTGAAAAAGGCAACCATTTGTATAACAATAAGGTACTTATATTTTACTTGGTTTACAGAAGATTTAAATGACCCTGCCATGTTTTGTTATTTTCACAGTGAGTAACATTATAAACTACGATACTAGCACAAGAAATATAAACCGAAGGTCTAATTGTGAGTAGAAAGTGCGTGTTTACAATCGTTTATCCCGGTCTTTACATTCTAATATATTAGGTACATACATTTACGATTTACATTGTTTATTTTTTTTCATTATTTTTCATACTTCACTAATTTAATTTGGTTTACTGTTTTGCAATTTTGCAGTAAACATTTATCTAAATGCCTATTGCTCAACTGTCCAAGCGTGTGGGAGATAATATAATACAAGCTGTAACAGGAAGACCAGAGGGGGTCCAATTCTTTAAATTTCATTAAAAATAAAATATATCACTGCCAGTTAAAATTTAAAATATACAGTATTAGGAATGTAAAAATTTTAATTATTGTGGGCTATGAGTAGTGAGTTTAAAGTACCTACCTATCCATATGCATTTTAATAATATAATTTTTAATTCAATAACTAGATTTTATTTTTAAATTTAAATTTCATTTAATTAGTCATTAGATTCAAAAATAAAATATTTATGTTTATAAATTTGCAGTGAATAAGAGGCACGTTTGGGATTATGGTAACATTTGAATACATTTGTTTTAAATTACAATGTGTAATTAATATAATCTATATACTTTGTCGAATTGTATATTACCTATAGGTATTTTATTTATTTATTATGTGACGAAAAATAGGAAACAGGCAATTATGGACAAATTTATATGTATTGAAATAATACCTATCCTCAACTCTCAAGTCCAAACTCTCTATTGGCAACAAATTATTAATAGGTATACAAATCAATGTTAAAGCTTAAAACCTATCTGCAGTTTTCGGATATATAAGTATTTTTTTTATCTAGATAAGGATAAAGATAATGCCACTCAAATGTATCTAGATAGATATAAAAGATAACTTAACTCATATTTATGTAGATAAAATAAAAGATACAATTATTTTTTAACACGTTGACTGCCATGAGCCCGCCGCGCCGGCGACCTAACATGGATACGTTAAAGTGGAGCCATTTAGGTTGCCGGCGACCTAAACCGAATTATGCTTCAGGGGCCGCTTGGGTCGCCGGCGGTTCAAACCTCTAATTGTATTTAATATATTATATTTTTCGATGGCGTGGAAATAATGACTTAATAATAACACTAGAGCGTACACGAGAAAAAAACGAATAATTTAAAAAAAAAAACTAATTGATTCCTTTATTTTAATCGTATTTAAAAAATATTCTTAATTGTACATAAATTATTACATTTAATCATATCTATATATATAAAAATGAATGTATGTCTGTGTGTCTGTGTGTCCATGTTACCATGGTTACCAAGGTTGCCATGGTTACTAAGGTTACCAAGATTTCATATCAATCTATCTATCTATATATATAAAAATGAATGTATGTCAGTGTGTGTGTCTGTGTGTCCATGTTACCATGGTTACCAAGGTTGCCATGGTTACTAAGGTTACCAAGATTTCATATCAATCTATATATATAAAAATGAATGTATGTCAGTGTGTGTGTGTGTGTGTGTGTGTGTCCATATTACCATGGCAACCATATCTGTATATAAAAAACAGTAAGCTGATTGACTGCTATCAACGCACAGCTCAAACCATTGGACGGATCTGGCTGAAATTTGGCATACGGATAGCTATTATAATATAGACGTGCGCTAAGAAAGGATTTGCCAAAATTCGCATTTTAAATAGGTGCTGAAACAGGGACATTGAGATTCACGATAGAAATTGGAAATTTTATTTTTATTTATTTATAGTTGCCATTGGTTACAGTCTACATTAGAAATTAGCATTTATTTATTGGTTGCCATTGGTTATTCGGGCAGATCAGGTACAAGCTTGCATCAAATCGAATTATTGAACAATGCTTACCAGGGTGGCAGAGTTGCACTTACCGCAGAAAATTACACCCAAAAGGAGTTCAACAATCATAATTTTTTTAAGAGTTGCGATTTTTTACGAGCAACCAAATTTATTATATTAATCCACAGTATTACATCAAAATAAACTTGGTATAACTTTGATACTTTAGAGTTAAATCATACACTTCCGTACAAACAGCACGGGGTCCGCGATCTACCGCAGGTAGATTGCCTACCTGATAATGTACTGCTGCGATTCAGAATTTTTATTCAGGGCAACGGGAAAGATAAGATAAATTTTGAACACCATACACGTTAATGAATTGAACAAAGTTTGAGTAGGTAGTATTGAGTTGATCCATTTAACGGGCGACGAAGTGCACGGGATCAGCTAGTAATATCATAAAAACACGATAGACAAATGAATGGCTGTGATGGACATGTACTGCAAAACGTAGTGACTTTTTTTGTTTTATTTAATGCTTCCCTAAACATAAATATATATATTTTTATTAGTTTTTAATTATTTTATAAAGATGATAAAATTAAAAGATGCAACAAATAATCTCATTACCTAAATTCTTTTTCTTGTGATATTTTCTTATAACACTCTGAGCAACGTTTTCTTAGTTTTCTATTTCTTGGACACTTCTCTTCAGTTTCCTCTATTTTATGTTTATGTGCTGCTGATCTTCATTGATTTCCTGTTGATTTTGGTGTGTTAGGCACTGCCATTTGTTGAGCTAATTTTCGGCTGGTAGGTCTTAGGTTGAGCATTTTATCAATTAACGACTCTCGAAATTGTTTTACATTCATTTTTGAATCATAATGATTCATGTTATACATGATTTGAGCATTAATAACACTAGTATTAAGTAATATCTCAGTCATAACTTTATGATACCAGCGGATGCTTTTTCTGACTGGAGTAGAATAAGATGCAAGTTGGTCTGATAAATCAATACCAGCTTTTCCTGCATTATAAAATAAAATAACATCAGGCTTCAAAATGCTTTCTTTTTTTCTGGATTGTTTTCCCGTGTCTATAATATCTAATTTATGACGTGTAGATAATAAAAATATATCTCTTTTATCTTTAAATTTTGACACTACAATACCGTTATCGTCTTCTTTCCCAAAAATTTCTCCTTTTTTAATTTTTTTTTGTGATAACTTCTTTAGGTACATAACGGCGATTTTTCCTAAGTGTCCCTACTAAATGTGTTTTTTTCTTTAAAAGTTGTTTAGCGAGTGGAACAGATGTATAAAAGTTATCTGTGACAACTGATTTCTTTCTTTACAACCTTTTTCTAAATATTTTTCGCATAAAGACAGTACGATTGTTTCACCTAACGATTGACCAGAAATAGACTGTTTTCCTTCATAAATAATTATTTTGTATGTAAAACCGTTAACATCACATATTTTGAATAGTTTAACTCCGTACTTGTGTCGTTTGCTTGGAATGTATTGTCGGAATTTTAATCTCCCTCTGAAAGGGATCATAGACTCATCTACTGCAATGATTTCTCCCGGTGTAAGTAAATGTTCGAAATTGAAATTAATTTTATCAAGAATATTCCTTATTTTGTACAAACGATCGGACTTATCACTTGTTTCGTTATCGGAAAAATGCCAGAAACGTAATATTAGTTCAAATTTACGAAGATAAATTTCAATTCGAGATATTGAAGCAGGTCTGGATAAGCTGAAGAACTTAAAATCAGTTGGTCCTGACGGGCTCTCTGGCATTTACTTGTACAATATTCGAAATTCCATTAGCTTTCCTCTACTGCTACTTTTCCGACGCTCACTTGATGAAGGAGTTTACCCTTCTATATGGAAAATGAGTTGTGTTTCTCCAATACATAAATCAGGTGACAAATCCGACGTTAAGAACTATAGACCAATCTCTATATTATCCCATTTAGCTAAGCTGTTCGACTCACTTGTCCTCCAGAGTATTCAACCATCTGTAAACTCTGTACTGATTGATGAACAACATGGCTTCAGACCCGGCCGCTCCACTATAACGAACTCTATGATCTTTAACAAGTATATCTTTGAGGCCTTTGAAAAAAACCTCCAAGTAGATACAATATATACGGACTTGTCAAAGGCCTTTGACCGTGTAGACCACTCAGCTCTTGTCCAAGTTCTTTACAAGACAGGCTTTGGCGATCCTCTCTTGTCTTGGTTCAGGTCTTATTTATCCGACAGATTACAATGGATTAAGACCAATGGGCATAAATCATCGGTGCCTTTCGTACCGTCCGGTGTTCCACAAGGTGGCCACTTATCACCACTACTATTTGCCCTATTCTTAAATGGAATAAAAAAAATCATACCTAACTGCAAATTCCTTGTTTTTGCAGACGACCTCAAGCTGTTCCTGAAAATTAGATCTATAGATGATTGTCACTTACTTCAATATAATTTAGACAATGTGGCTTCCTACTTATGTTCACTAGGACTTAGTCTTAATGTGAAGAAGTGTCTAACTATGTCATTCACTAGAAGTCGATCTGTTATCCCCTTCCAGTACAAGATTTTTGATTCTTCCCTTGTATCAGTCATGAGCGTGAAAGACCTAGGTATACTTTACAACCCTACTCTGGATTTTCACTCACACATTGAATCTTCGTGTTGTAGGGCACTAAAAGTGCTAGGATTTGTGAAGCGAATAGCTTCCGAATTCAAGCTGGAATCATCGTTAAAAGTGCTCTATTGTTCCTTAGTTAGATCTATTGTAGAATATGGTTCCGTGTTATGGGACCCACATACAACCTCTAGCTCCCTCCAACTAGAGCGTGTGCAAAGACGCTTCTTATCATTTGCTGCCTATGTACTTAAGATAGATCATGTCCCTCATGACTACTTCCCGGTGCTCACTGAACTACATCTAACTTCACTGGTTGATAGAAGAGCAACTGCTAATCTATCATTTTTACGAAAGCTCTTGGACGGATCAATAGACGCTCCCACTCTTCTCTCCAGTATCAATTTTAAAGTACCACAGCGTTCCCTCCGTTCTTATACAACATTCTCCATCCCAAATTGCTCTACAAACTACGGCCGTAATAATCCTATCTACCGTATGATGCGCATAGCAAATGAACAACCATCATTCCCTACCTAAACTAATCTTATTGTTATAATTGTTATTTACTGTTCTATTAAAAATGTAATTATTAATATTTAAATATAATTTTATACTTAGTGTACACTTGTAATGTAATTTTGCTCTGCCCGTAATGTTTGAAAAAAAAAAAAAAATTTGTTTCTGCTCATAATTTTTGGAGCTACACTATTTTCATATCTTTCCGCTTTACTCCAGTAATCAGCAATGTTCGGATATTTTACTACACCCATCCAAAGTAATAATCCAATAAATTTCGTCATATCCTCTAATACTATGGGTTCCCATGAATGGAATCTACTACTACGTGACAGTCTAATACTTTTTAGACATTCATCAGCATTTCTATTGGTTTCCAAGACCATACAGTTTAGTATATCGTCAGTAAGAAATAATTTAAAATAGTCATATGGCTCTGTATTAGCTAACATTTCTATAGGTAACGGGCAATCGTTTTCAAAAATAAAATATTTTTGGTAATTACCTGTAACAGGATACCAGTTTGATGGTATATTATCATTATCAACATTAAGTTGTACTGGAAGGGATTCATCACCACTGGATTCATCACCACTTTCCGATAGTTGAAAAAGAGGATCGCCATCGCTGTCATCAGCACTTTCATCCGAAAATGAAAAATCTGAATCACCAAGTGCATCTTCGATCTGCTTTTGATCCATTATAATACAATAATAGAGCACTCGAAACGTAATATTGAGAACGAACAAGGACAAGCACGTGCCGTGATTGATAAACGTTTAATGACAAATATAAACAAGAAATTATCTATACATTTATTATGGTAGCCGGCGACCAATAAGTTATAATTAGACTCTCCTATCTATATATACACACACGAATATTACAGTAATAACATATTATTTATACCATGGCTCCGCTATTACATATCCGTGTTTTAAATGTTGGTATATTTTGGTTGGGCACTAGGAATATAATAATAATAAAGATATAAATAAAAATAATTACATTATTTATAAATCATAAACTTTGTTTGAGAATCTGTATAATTATTTAAAAATGTTATATAATTTAGCGATATTATTCAATAAAAAAAATATCTAGATGAATTTATTTAGATTAGTAAAAACATTATCTAGGTATGATGAACGTTTAGATACCTCGTAACTATTTATCTAGATAAGATAAAAGATGAACAAATAATTATCTAGATATTCATCTAGATAAGTCTGAACACTGCCTATCTGTGCCTATATGGTATCCAAATATAGGGATGTAAGCCTTAAAAAATACGGACTATACAAGCCTTCTAGTCTACTTCTCTTCTGCCAAATAATATCTGCGCCATTTTACGTCTCAAATCTCTCACTACATAAAAATCTTAAAATGAAAACAGTCTCTAAAACAGCAAAAAATTAGGTACTATAAAAAATTCCACATTAAATCACTTAACCACACAAATCCATTGATTTCTAACTTATTAGCTAGTGAACTCATGCCAAAAACCCCCCCACGTCGATTAAAAATACATTGGTATCGAGATATATTTTATCTCAACCTGCATTAAAAAAAAAATAAATACAATTCTCTACCCCAATTTTGAGAGTATTCACACTGGTAGGCCTCCCTTCTCACGCTATTTCATGTTATGTACCTTATATTAGCTATCAAATTTACTTATTGTATTGTATTTAAATACTACAGATTGTAAATACTCTATTTTATCTAATAAAAAAAAAAAAGGCAAATTAATATTTGTTTCAATTATTTTTATGATTGCCTATTTAATATTTATCAAAATTCATAACATTAGTCATTGTACATCCGTAAATTAAATATTTATATTTATACATTTCTAGTGTATTTTTGGAAGCTGAAGAAGGTGGATTTCGGTAATATTTTAATACATTAATTTTAAATTACAATGAGTAACATGGGCGTGCTCAAGGGGGGATATCAACCCCCCCCTGCAATTTACACTTTACAAATACAATATAAGTACCTAATAATTATAATAACTTATTACTTATTAGTAATAAATCTAGTTTAGTACCAACCCAAAATTTTCAATTTTTTTTTCGGAAACCTATGTACTTTAGTACTTATTAGCACAAATGAATTGCCGGAAATCATTAGTTTTTATGATGCCAACTAGAAAATTCTGCCAAACTAACAAACACAAGTGTTTAAACATACATTACCCTCCTCCACAGTTAAAAACTACCCAATGGCCTAAGTGGCCGCTGGTTAATTAATTATAAAAAAAAAGTTTTTGACTATTTTGACTATTTGTGTCATACCTATTAATTATAGGCTATAATAAATAAAGATTAATGAATATTAACAATTAGTTGGAGCGCAGACTGGCCACATATAATTAATATTTAAATATTAAAAATGCACAAGGCTCACAATATAAAATTATAATATATTTAATATTTAATATGTGAATTTTCACGTCGATACATCATAAACAATATAAGGCATCCACGCAATTTAATATTACATTTTATAATTTAATACGAAAATCTGATGTCGTTACCAAAAACTATATTTTGCGACGACGGCAAACAAACACACACACAAAATACAACAATTCTATCTTACATAGGTAATAATGTATTCACGGAAACAGATAACGTATAATTGATTATTTAATGTGTATTTAAGGGGACTGCAGTCGGTTTTATCAAAAGTCAAAACTAATGTACCTAGATTTTTCAAAAAATAAACCTTAGGGGGCTGGATTGGGCTCTAGTCAATGAAAAAAAGTGACTTTTAGACCAATAAGCTAGACAAAACTGGAAAAATTTTATTTGACAGATTTTAATTTCAAAAACGGATTATGATTGATTAACAAGTTTACTAGGAAATGATCGAGGGGATTTTGAATATTCCAATTATTGCAGCACCTTTAATATTTAATGGTCGAATAGCTGATAATAGAAAACCTGTCTATGTATATTCGGTGATTACACGGGATGCCCTTTGAAGCAGTGTGGAAGGTTAGGACCCAAAATCCTTCACGTCCCACTCATTAATACTATATGTCTATTCCAAAACGAAATATTTCCATCAATTATTCCAAAATGTACTAATAATATACCTACCTGTTTATGTTGATACATTTATAGTCGATCCAGGTAAGTCCACTAATTCTACACATTTTTAATATTATAGAGCTATATAAAAAAATAAAAGAGGTTAATAAAAGTTTTAAATATATGATTGTTGAATGAGACACAGGCACCTACGTCCTCGTGATAAATTTACAGATTGTTATAATGTTGTACCACATAGAAAATAGTATATTTTTTACTATATTACTATATAAAAGTGTTTCTCAACCTTTTTTAAGTTACCGCCCCCTTGAGTGTCAATACATTTTTTAACGACCCCTACAATGTGAGAATTCTATAATTAAGGGTATTTGGAAAATTTAAAAGAAAAAATGTAAATAATCTAATAACTCATGTTTTTATTTATTTTTTATATTTGATATATTTTTATTTATAGTACTAGGAATATGGAAATTAATTTAAAAAAATTAAAATTAAATTAAACATTTAAAAAATTTAAATATAAATACATTTTTTAGTTTCTTTAAAAAAATATTGCTAGGCATCAATGAGATGGTTGAACTTGGTGGTTTTTAGCAAGTTTTTTGATATTAGGTTCGATGTTTGTTAACTTAAGTCGTAAATCTCCTCTTGTCACGATATCGAGTCGATTCCTCTTTTTAATAAACCTAACCTAACCTAGTGTATTTACAGTGTTAATATTATTCGATATTACATCTGTGTGTATTGTTAAAAACCAAAATGTACTAAAGACAATATAATGTCTTTCGAACGTACCTATATTATTAAGCATAGGTAAAGAGGACTTTTTTGGCGACTTTTAAGTTTCAATATTTACAAATACGTGCGGGATGTAATTGTTATAAATGAAATTATTTTATAATAAATATTTTATATGATATGAAAATTTACTTATAAACATTATTAGTTTAAACCCTATACTAATAGTTTATGATTCATAACACTAATTAATTATACTTACGTTTATATATTTACAGCTATTCGTGGTAAGCTTATAATTTTATAGGTATACTATTTTATCTAAGTAATTTATAATAAGTGTGCAGTGTGCCACAAGGTTTAGTATTGAGCATTTGAGCCCCTATCTGTTATTCTTAGTTATTGACAAGATTATGAAATAAACAAATAATTGTAAAGTGCAATGGTGCATGATGTTTTCTGACCTTGTTGTGTTATTAATTATTTTTAACTCAGTTAAGATAAGTTAATATGCATCAATAACAAAAAGTTAATAGTTAATTTAAGTATTGGTGAACTCAGTTAAGTTAAAAGTTATTTTTTTTATACAACGCTAACGTAAGTACTTTATTTTCTACCAACCTAAGACTAAATTATATATAATAGGTATAGTTCTTATACTCTTGTGAGAGTTTACCAGAGTGACCCCTAGTAAAAATCACCCACGGATCTCTGGGACTTGAGATCTGTGACCTGCCAGCCGTGTCACGTGGGAAATGTGAATTTCACTATGACAGAACTGACAGGTTTTAAACACGCATTGGCAAACTGAATGCCCAGGATTCATAATATAAGGTGACACTGAATAAATAATAATAACAAATGATTTGGGTTTAAGAGTGATAGGATAGTATAATATATTTCACGTTGACACTCGAGTGTATAACAATAAGTGGGTCTTTTTAATAATATCTTTGACACCACAGGTGAAGTATATATATAAGTTATGAACCACATGGCTGGTAGAGGAAATTTATAAGGAAAATATAATATTGTCGGGGCACATCTTAAGGGTGGCAAAAAGGGCAGGGGGGGAACAACAATACGTTACACGGCTGGACAGTTCGAGCAGGTCAGGCGAGCAGCAACAGTTCGGGCTTTCCGGCTTCCCCGGCCGATGGTTGAGGCTTATGCCATCGTGGAGTTGTTGTCAACGGTGGTGAAAATAATGAAACTAATAATTTATGTACGAGGACAGGATCTGTCCAGTACTGATAGTATTGTTGAGTCGAGAACTCCCGGTCGATCAGACAATTGGTAGGATTAAGACCAAAAAAAAACGTGACGGAACGGAGCCAACGACAAGACGTGGTTGCGTTAGGCCGTCCGTTGCAAAAAAAAAAAGAAAAAATTGACGGCGTTGACGGCTGGCAGCTGTTGATTTCAGGCGGCGTGCTGACCAGTACGGGTAGAGGGAGGTTGGTTACAATAATTATAATAATAATGTGGGTACAGGTTGCACTGTTGATGCCACTGGCAATGCGACTTCCTCGAACGACAGCACAATCTGACCACAGCCGTGGTGGGTGACAGCTGTACCTTGCATAGGTGGGGGGAGGGAGTAGTATGTGGAGACATAACTTTGTGGATTGCATTGTTAATCGAGCGCGCAACAATTATGATAATAATAATAATAATTGTGATTCGTAATAGCAATAATAATGATTGTGTACGAAAAACCCGTGACGTTACAGAACCCCCCCAACAAGTTGTTAAAGTTGAGACTTAGGGTTAGGAACTGCAAATAACTTGTTGTAGTATAAAAGACACTGCGTTTTTTGGTGGACCATAGACAGTTAACATAAAGAAAATAACTCAATCAAGGTAATAATAATAATATAATGACCCGCTTTGCATTGATAAGTAAATGATTTAAGTTAGGAAATAAATAGTTTGGGCACCAACGTTAAAATAATAATAATCTGATCTCACGCCATATAATAATAATTCAAAAAACAACACATTTATGTAATAAAAAACCTACCGATAATAATGACCTGGACCTACTTTTGTTGTTCGTACAACAGTGTTAGAACGCTGTTGCGTTAGAGCGCAAACTTATACATGGTAATGTATCTACATTACAGAGAGTGTAGCAATATACAACCCCCCATTAAGACTGGAGACCCGGGTTAATAATATGGGTCACTCTGAAGATAGTGTGGAGCATTTTAATGTTGCGAAGATGAAAGTTGAGATATGTTGTTTTTTTTAATGTGATGATTATGAATTGAAGTTGACTGGTGATTATTAAAGCATTGTGAACTAAGATATTGATCTGATATTATTATTTTAACGTTGGTGCCCAAACTATTTATTTCCTAACTTAAATCATTTACTTATCAATGCAAAGCGGGTCATTATATTATTATTATTACCTTGATTGAGTTATTTTCTTTATGTTAACTGTCTATGGTCCACCAAAAAACGCAGTGTCTTTTATACTACAACAAGTTATTTGCAGTTCCTAACCCTAAGTCTCAACTTTAACAACTTGTTGGGGGGGTTCTGTAACGTCACGGGTTTTTCGTAGGCGGTGTTCCCTGCTCGGGTTGTTGAGAGGGAGCTTGGTTCTGAGATTGTGGATATTGGGGCCTATGGTAATTGTTTTGACGAGGAGGGTAATTGTTTTGACGAGGAGGGTAATTATTTTGACGAGGAGGGTAATTATTTTGACGAGAAGGGCCTGAAGAGTTATTGTATGAATTCGGTTGTTGAGAGTGAGAATTTGAATTGTTATTGTTGGGAGTATTCGGAGCACTTGAGGGGCCGTTTGAACGTTGAAGATATGTCAGTTCTTTGACTAAGTCGTTCGTTGTGAGAATCCTGAGACCTCGGAGCGCAAGCGAGAGGTGGTAGGAAAAGTGGGATATAATTTGGTCAACCATTTCCACTTGTTCTATCGGGGGCTGCAGATGACGGGCACGGTTTATCCAGTCCATGGCGTGTTCGGACAGAGTGGAGGGATCTTCATGATAGTAGGGACGATACAACTCATTTCGAATCTGCCGTTGAAGGCTGGGAGACCAGAAATAGTCACGGAACAACGTAACAAACTCAGCATATATTAGAGGGGGAGGTAACAGGGTAGTATACCACAATAACGCTTTCCCAGTGAAGTTATCACTGACAAAATTAATCTTAACCTGATCAGGGGCATTATGTATTAAGAAGTAGTGATCAACTTTGTCCAAAAAGTCTGCAGGGTGTACCGGTGTGAGCTGCCCGTTATATTTCGGTATCCTGTTGGGATCCATAGAGATACTAGAGAGTTGGGAGACATTATTTGAAAGGTTGCTGTTGTTATTGTAGAGGGACTGATTGTCTCGAGAATTATTAATGGCTGAAATAGAGTGTGGGGGAATAGAATTATTAGAAATAGGTGCTTGAGGCAGAACTGTTGATGATAGAATATTTGAACTGAGAGCGTGTGAAATAGATATTGGGGGAAGCCGAGAAGCAGCCTGTGTTGTACGTGGGGGTGGGGCTGGAGTTGGAGAAGTGAAAGAAATATTTTTAACTTTATTCTCGACCGCAGCAAGTCGAGCAGACTGGCCTTCCATGAAACAAACGCGACCAGTGAGGGACTGGATTTGCGCATTTATCTGTTGTTGAACACTATTAGTATGTTGTATGCTATCTTGGAGTGTGGTATCATGGTAACTAGCATTACTAGTTTGAATATCAGCGATATGACCTTGGAGGTTGACAAACTCCTCATGAAACTCACTCTGGACTCGGGTTAACTGCTGGGTGGTGCCTATTTCAACCTCCCCTACCCGAATGGATAGTTCCTGGAACTTCTCGTTATACTCACTGAGCCTATGGTTGAGGGACTCGAATTGTTGTTGGAAAACTGTATTGATATCATTGATTTGTTTTTGGAGGGAGTCTACAGTGGGGGACTCTATGTTAATAAGGGGTTGACTTGGATCTCCGTTGGGGGTACCCATAGTAGTATCTAAATTAGGAACAGGGAGAACTGGAGAGTGAATGTAGTTCGATGGATCAAACCTATCAGGTTGGGTTGTGCGGCGTTGACCGGCGCCGTACATGGGACGTAGACCAGTTGATAATAAATTAAACTACACACTAAGAGTGGATAAACGATTTAATAAAAAAAAATTCTTAAAACAGTATGTAATTAGTATAATACTCACTGAAAATCAGTCTAAAATATTTTTTTTTTTTTATTTTTTTTTTTTTTAGAAATAGTTAAAAACTTCAACCAAAATAATTAAGAAGTATTCAATATAAGAGAATTGAGATTTCTTGGACTAAAAGTAAAAATTAATTTAAGCAAAAATAAAAGCAAAAAGCTAATAAATAGTATGGTATAATTCAATATAAAAAAAACTGTATAGATAAATAAGCTAAGGCTTTTGAATACTAATCTTTGAGTAATAATATAATTTAACAGACAGGGCACTAGGGGAACCAAAAAACCCAGGATTACTGCTACCTAGCATCAGTCCAGCAACCATTGTGTAACGATATTGAATGATAATGGGGAAACCTACCTAACATTCAGGGAATATAATAATTATAGCAGAGATGATCTTAATCCACTTTACTATTTAACTTGAATAAGTAATACACTGAGAAATAATTTATATATATAATAAAAAAGAACCTCCTTGCAAGGGACTTATAATAAATAATTTAACGTTGACCATCAGTCTAAATAAATAATAATTTTTTTTTTTTTTTTTTTAAATAATGAAATATAACTCACTGACATAAACATTAAGTTACAGTGACTAGACTTTAAATAATTTAAATAATTCAACATTAATTTTTAATAATAATAATCTCTTAATTAATTAGGCATTACTCATTCGAATAATCAACAATAATATAGCATTCTACCTACCAAGGCAAAGAAAAAAACAAAAATCATAAGGAATGTACCGTTAATTTATAATAATTCTAATACTGACATGGGACCTCATGGCACAACATAATATAAAAAAAATAACTGTCCGCAGACCAAGTTACTACTTAACACAATAATATAATAATCCTCAGATTTACCTACAAAGGAACAATAATAAATCAAGTTACCCTAAATGGTGTAGTGATAATAATATAATTTAACACTTAACACACTAACAATAAATGACTCTTATAGAGCATAAAAATTCAAATTACCTCTCAGGGCATAATAATTAATAAAAATTCAAATTACCACATACAGCATAAAAAGAAGAATTCTAACATACTATACAAGGCATAATAATATAACTTATTGACCATGTGGTCCTAGAAAAAAAACATTTTTATCGCAGCGCACCTATAGCAATCTAACCTGACAATGTTATGTAACGGGTTGAACTTGAGGCCTATGGTAACCTACCAGGGAAGGCTTAAAGGGAAACATATGTATTATGCATACCATAGGGAAATGATGATAATTACAGGGTTCAGCTGTCTCCACACCGTAGCTGCCAGAACAAACTGCCACCGCGGAACGAAGCCGACGCACCAACCAACAAACACCGACAGGAACAACTTCTGTAATAAGTTACTGGATATAAATGTGTATAGGGTGGGACATAAGAAAAATAATAATAATTTAACAATTACCTTGGTAGAATTATACATTTTTGAGAGAGAATAGTTTATAACATTATATTTTTTTTTTTTATGATACCAAGAAAAATGAAGTTAATTTAATAATGTGACTTTTGTTAATTTAACATAATTATAAATGGTCCCTTGCAAGAGAGTAAGTCACATTCTGAATTATAATAAAAATAAAAAAAAAATAGAGATTTGGGCAATAATAATATAAAGGGAAATATGGAGAATGGTATAAGATATTCTTTTGGTTACAGGATCCTACTATTTTAGTAGATTGAAACGGATAATAATTTTTTCTATATTTATTTATTTATTTTTTTTTTTTTACAATGCCATGGGTTACCTGATTTAAAATAATTTTTATGTTGAATAATAATAATGTTAGCAATTGTAATACTACCTATGGTGCCAATTAAATTATAAGTTTGCCATTTAAATGATAATGGTATATACTAGTGGTAATAGAGAAAAAAAAAATTTGAATATTAGTTAAATAGGGAATTTTAAAGAAAATGAATCTCCCCGGAGCCTCCATATGTGAGAGTTTACCAGAGTGACCCCTAGTAAAAATCACCCACGGATCTCTGGGACTTGAGATCTGTGACCTGCCAGCCGTGTCACGTGGGAAATGTGAATTTCACTATGACAGAACTGACAGGTTTTAAACACGCATTGGCAAACTGAATGCCCAGGATTCATAATATAAGGTGACACTGAATAAATAATAATAACAAATGATTTGGGTTTAAGAGTGATAGGATAGTATAATATATTTCACGTTGACACTCGAGTGTATAACAATAAGTGGGTCTTTTTAATAATATCTTTGACACCACAGGTGAAGTATATATATAAGTTATGAACCACATGGCTGGTAGAGGAAATTTATAAGGAAAATATAATATTGTCGGGGCACATCTTAAGGGTGGCAAAAAGGGCAGGGGGGGAACAACAATACGTTACACGGCTGGACAGTTCGAGCAGGTCAGGCGAGCAGCAACAGTTCGGGCTTTCCGGCTTCCCCGGCCGATGGTTGAGGCTTATGCCATCGTGGAGTTGTTGTCAACGGTGGTGAAAATAATGAAACTAATAATTTATGTACGAGGACAGGATCTGTCCAGTACTGATAGTATTGTTGAGTCGAGAACTCCCGGTCGATCAGACAATTGGTAGGATTAAGACCAAAAAAAAACGTGACGGAACGGAGCCAACGACAAGACGTGGTTGCGTTAGGCCGTCCGTTGCAAAAAAAAAAAGAAAAAATTGACGGCGTTGACGGCTGGCAGCTGTTGATTTCAGGCGGCGTGCTGACCAGTACGGGTAGAGGGAGGTTGGTTACAATAATTATAATAATAATGTGGGTACAGGTTGCACTGTTGATGCCACTGGCAATGCGACTTCCTCGAACGACAGCACAATCTGACCACAGCCGTGGTGGGTGACAGCTGTACCTTGCATAGGTGGGGGGAGGGAGTAGTATGTGGAGACATAACTTTGTGGATTGCATTGTTAATCGAGCGCGCAACAATTATGATAATAATAATAATAATTGTGATTCGTAATAGCAATAATAATGATTGTGTACGAAAAACCCGTGACGTTACACTCTATACAGTATTTCCATATATGTTTTCTCATAAGTTAGAAAATAAACATATAAAATGTTTAACTTTAAATAATTTACTAACCGAAATAGTGAAATTTAATAAAACTAAAAATAAAATATACTAACTTAAATTACTTCTCAAAATGACAAATTAATTCCCTAATTTCACTTTAAATAAAAAAGAAATTTAGTTGGTTAATAGTTTTCATTAACTTATGAAAATCCAAAAGTAACTATTTAACTTAAATAGTTAAAATTAAAGAAGCTTTTAAACATAACTTTAACTTTTAACTAGTTAGGCCCAGCCTTGCTCATCAGTGATGAATAAAATATTCCAATTTAGGCCAAATAAGTATACCTATATCCCTATATCGAGTACCAAATTATCTGTACCTATATTTTTTTTTACTGTATAAAACAATACAATAATTTAAATAATATTAAAATCTATTTTTTTTAATTGTGACATTAAAAAATAAAATATAAGTATAAAGAAATAAGTGCATAATTTTCGATATTTAATGCACATAAATTTATATTTTTAACTTTTTCAGGCATATTTCAATTCATATTTTGCCAATTTTGAGTGCATAAATGCATGCTTATTTAGGCATTTTTTAGAAAATGAACTTACGAGTCCTGGTTATAACGAATACAATATTAAACAAGTGTTCATGAATTTAACTAACAATTGTGATACCAATTACATGGTTCGGATCATTTTGAGCTTGTCAGTGTATTTATAAATCTTCTCCTACAGGTGACAACCACATAGATAACTTGATCAACCATGTGACTGTCAGGGATAATCTCCCCTATACTAGTGAAAAGATTGGGTCTCGATTACCTCTTCAGCAGTGTTAATATATTATATTAACCAACCCACAGTAGGTGGGTTCACCTACAAGTTACTAGTTTGGTTGCAAATTTTATTAAATTTAATACAGTTCTGAAAATATTAATTTAATTTACAAATTTTTATTACTTCTTAGATTGTGCAGGTAAGTTAACCTTTACATTGAATAGTTTTTGAAATAAGCTACAATGATAGGAAAGGCCGAAAGTTATTTTTAAAAAGGTGCAGGACAGGTGCAGTGTACAATAGTTGTCGAGTATGGCATTATAATGGATGTGTTAGATTTGAATCAATGATAAATCATTTCATAGGAAAAATTATTCTGAGAGGAGATAGTGTGTCAGTCATAAACTTAGATAGGTTAGGTTAGATTTAAACATAAATTTCATAACTAAAAAATAAAATTATTAAAAAATTAAAAATATCTCATAGCAATATTTTCCGTTAAGTTTTTAAAGGTAGAAAAACTAGTAGAGAATCTTCTATTAAAATGTTAAACGTTAGCTATGAAACGAATATCCTTAAATAACTTAAAAAAGGTGCTCCAGTGGGTGTCGTAGTAGCTTACAAGTGGGTCACTGTAATGAATGGCGTTAAATTTAAATTCAATGATATAATATCATTGTAGGTATATAAGGAAAACGATTCTGAGCGAAGACGGTCAGTCAGATTATAAAATTACTAATAGGTATTTGATGATATTATATTGTGAATAAAATGATTTATTTAAATAACCTATTTACATGGAAACTCCTTTTAAATTTTCAATCTTTAGATATAAAAGTTGAACATTTTATACATTTTTAAGTACAAAATAATTATTAAATTTTAAATTAGATACATTTTGTTAAAATTTGAACTTTAAAATTTAAATGCATATAAGAAAAATTGTTAACATATATTTTTAATATTTTTTTAGCCTTGTGTATTCAATTTTCACGAATTTTTACCAATAAACAAAATTGTATTGACAATAATAGAAAAATAAAAACTTAAAAAGTTAAAAACTGACAGTGTCCAAAACGAGATCAAAAAGAGTCAAAATTGTATGGTGTATAGAAAGTGAAAATATATAATCATTCAGTGAAATGAACATGTATTTACAGTTATTCGTTTTTGAATTACAACAAAATAGCAAAATCGCTACATGAGAAATCGAGTGAATATCGTATGTTGCAAAAATATGAAATTCAAAAGCTCATAAAAATTTAATTTGACTTTGAAAAATAAACACATTTTTGAGGAATTTTTTATGACATTTTACAATCTTAGATTTAAATAGAAACATTTTTATAAATTTCTAACTCAAAATATTTGAGCACAAGTACATGAACGTTTTCGTGAATTTAACGTATTATGTCTATATTTTAACTTTACATGCTTATAAATAAAATTAAGACTATGGATTTTTAATATTTATCATTTGTTTTTGAAACAGTATATTAGGAGCCTTATATTTAATTTTCAAGCTTTTTACCCAACAAATAAAATTTTATTGATTTTTATAGAATAAAAAACTAAAAAAAAATGGGAAACTGAATATGCGCGTAAACAGCTCAAAATAAATCAAAATATTTTAAAAATCTTAAGGTTTATAGAAAATGATAATATAAACATTCAGTGAAAATGTCATGTATCTATGGTTATCTGTTTTAGAGTTACACTAACAAGCAAAATCTATTTTGTCGAAAATCGATTTTGAGAAAAAGTTTCCGTTTTTCCATAATTTTGCTTATTTTTTTCATGGAGCTTTTGAAAACTACTGGAAAATGTTTACTTTTGAACCCCCAAAGTACCAATTAGATTCACTTTATTATAGATTTAATAATGTACTTATCTAACTTTAATTCAATACATTCATCGCTTAGCTCAAAATCTAAAATAAGACTTGTAAGACGGATACAACAAATCCGCTAACAAATGGCTGTGTAGCGTCTTCTTAAAGAAAATTCCATTACAATAATTAGTAATAATATATATAAAATGTCTAACATGCAACATTAAATATTTAAGTTTGAAGTTTGCTCAATTTCTGTTGGTTAATAAATAACGTTAAATTTAACAAACTTAATTAAATAAGTCTAATGTAAGTACATATACACAGCCGTAAAATAAAATGGTTTTTATAAACGTAAAATTGTATAATATATTAAACAATGCATGTATATAGTACAAAATAGTTAACATACAAATTACAAATTAGTCAGTAGAAAATAATAAAATCAATAAAAATAATTTCACAATTTTATAATATTTTTCCACCGATTTTAATATGTTGACGGAACACTGGTTAAGAACCACTGCTATATGACTACATTTGTATTGGTTGAATTGCATTAATCACTATTATAATAGCAATTCATTGTAAAGTTATGTCAATAATTTTTTTTTTTTTAAAGGAAAAATAAAATGGACATATGATGGTAAGATTACTATATTAGTATTAAATATTGATGTTACGAATACCATTTTTATTCAAATTAAAATCTTATAGGTATATTTCAATGGATTAATATAGTGATAACTTATCTATCTATATCTATACTATTATATAAAATGGTAAGGGTTTTCTTAGAGAAAACTACTGAACCGATTTGGCTGAAATGTTTTACTGTTATACTTGACAGTCTGCTGGAGGTCATAGTACCATTTTTGTTTAAAATAGTCCACCAGAAAAGTAGGAAATATGGATGTCAACAATATAACAGTGGCGCAATCTGTCCAGAAAAAAAATAACTAATTAATAAAAAATGAAAATTAAAGTTTATTGTTGCAGATTAAAATAATAATAGTGTATTATAATATATTGGTTGCTATGTTATTTATACATTATTATATTTATATTATATATATATATTTATTTATTTATTTATATCGGGCATGTTTGTTGATTTCAGTTATTATTTTTCGTGAATTATGTGTAAGCCCATTACAAGAAAACCCTTACCATTTTATATAATAGTATAGACAAATGCATGTTTGTGTGTAGATTAGACCTCTGGGAAGAAGATAGATTATTTTAAAAAGGGTGAAATTTGGTTTTTTTTATTCATTGGATTTTAGTACGGTTAGGTTAGGTTAGGATTTTGTATTAATTGGTTATATTAATCCACTGTAGGTGGAATTAAGTAAAAACGACAAAATTGGTATAACTTTGATACTTTAGAGTTAAACCATACACCTACGTACAAACATACGTACGTAACACGGTTTTACTAGTATTTAAATACTTTTTTTGTATTTTAAATACTTTTTATTTTTTACTTTTTTTTTGTATTTTTATTCGAGAATACTAAATACTTTTATTCTAGTGTTCAACCCGAAATTTCAATAATTACAAATTTTTCGTAATATACTATTTTAAATTTTGTTTCTAAAATATTATTCTATTATTCTATAATGATAATAGTTTTGACTAATGACTGTCTTAATGAGAATTTATAAATAAGGTTTCCCCAAAACACAATCAGATAAGTGATAACAGAATGACTGAAACCCCCGTCTGCTCCTCTCTACCATAGCATACGGCCATTCGGGGCACAGACCACCATTGGTTATATTGGTTTTTATCTTGAATCTATTATTAGTTATAATTTCAAGTTGTAATAACAATAATACAATATTGTAATATAAGTATAAATATATTATCTACCTAGCTGAAGTTAAACTTATTAGTAATTAAGTAATTAATAATTATCTATTGACTATTATCTTATATCTGCTTGTACTTATTAAAGTATTATTAAGTCATTGAAACGTTTATAAATAAGTTTAAATACCTATATATTTGCATATAGTGTTTAATTATATATAATATTAATTATTATTTATTAATAAAATTAACATTTCAATATGTAATTTATTGAACTAAAAAAAAGTATTTTTTAAGTATTTTGAATACTTTTAAAAGGAAGTATTTGAATACGTATTTTAAATACTAATGATAACAAGTATTTAAATACGTATTCTGAATACATTTGAAAAGTATTCTTAACAAGACTGCTAGCAAGTCGGTCATTTAAAGTGACAAACGATTAAGTCATCG